AGTGAGAGCTCTTTGGATCATACTGAAGAACCATAACTTAGACTATGGTTAAGCAGACCTTACCTTGACCAGTACTATTTAGTTATATATGCCTCACCTGCCTGCCACAAATCTTCCCCTGTTTAAACATAAAGCTCACATCAGGACTCTGAAGATGAACTTAGGGCCCTGGACCCTTTTTGGCCATTCCTCTTTTTGCATGTGCTGATTGTCTCCTCTCAGCTTTTCTCCATCACTTACCTTTTTAATTGGTATATCGGGCCTAGTGGCTGAGCCTAGACCTTTGGAAGGAGTAAAGCCCAGGGCTTTGGCCCTAAAAGTCGGGTTAATGAAAATACGGTAAAGAGAGTGTGACTAAGGATCATTGCCATGAGTATTAGGGACCACTGCATCAAGATTGTGTAGTGGGAGACAGAAATTGGGGCAAGTTGGACCAAACAAAGTCACTTTGTCAGGGAGAAAATGGCAATCTTTTTTGTTTTGTTTTGTTTTATTTAATTTTTACAAAATTATAATTTCACATGTCAATCCCTCCTACTTCTCCCCCCCCTCAACTGCCCCCCATGGAGGGTAGGGCCCTCCACAGGGGCTCTCCAAATTCCACAACATCATCCTGGGCCGGGCCTAGGCCCTCCCCCATGTGTCCAGGCCCAGAGAGCATCCCTTCATGTGGGATGTGCTCTCGAAGTCGCTTCTTACACCAGGGAAAAATACTGATCGACTACTAGAGGCCCCATAGGGTGTCAAGGCCTCCTCGTTGACATCCACTTTCAGGGGTATGGATCAGTCCCATTATGGCCTCCCAGATAGCAGTCTGGGGTCTGTTACTATAAATCTTTCAGCCAAAAGCCGCCTGAACCCCACCTCCACGTGTGAGCTTTACGCCAGCCGCCTGCCCGAGTTAGGCCCAAATGAATACACAGAAACTTGTATTAGGTTCAAAGTTGCTTGGACAATGACTAGGATTCCTCATCTGTTAGCTCAGTCTTAATTATCATAAATCTATATATGTTATAAGACTTATCTGACGCCTTATTGGCGTCCCTCCTTGCCGGTGGATCACATCGTGCTGCTGGAGGAGCAAGGGGAAAAAAAAGGGATGCTTCCTGTTTCTCCTTTGCTGAGTCTCCTTGCTATGTCACTTCCTGCCTGGATCACCACTTCTCTACTACATTTCCCAGAATCCTCTTTGACTCCTAGTCCTGTCTAACTTGCTGTCTTATTGGCCAAACAGTATTTTATTTAACAATCAATAAGATAAACATACACAGTATATTCCCCATCATCTCCTCTTTTCTGTCTAAATAAAAGAAGGATAACTTATCTTTTATAATAACTGAAGAAAACTATAACCATAACTATCTGTCTGTAATCTTATCAAAGACCACATAAGGGTAATATATAAACTCTAGAATTAACAGAGACATCCACTACCTGGACATCACCCAAAGTTCCTCTGCAAAGTTGGGGCATCCATCTTCAGCCCATAGGCCACAGTGTGTGTCTGGCACAGGTATACTTCAAAGATGTACTAACCTCTGTATGGAAACCAGGACATATGTTACACTGGGGTAGGAGTTTTTTGCATTGGTTTCTGCAGGAGAAGAAAAACTTTGGATACCATCAAAGTTGATCAAGATTCGAGTTGAAAAGGAAAAACCTCTTGATGAGGAGAAATGACAGGTATTCTACTAAGGTATATCTCATAAACTAAATAGAAACCTCCCAAAGGAAAAGGAAGTGTATTGCTTTTATCTTCACAGGAAAACTCATCTCCAGAAGGCAAGGGACACTGCATGGGTAGATGCTTAAGAAGAAAAGGTACCTATAACCATCAAACAAAAGGAACGTGCCAAATGGTAAACTTTACATCTGTCTCTCAGAGAACTCTATTTCTCTTTATTTCCTAGTCCCTATTCAATTAAACCAATGCTGGATTTAGAGGTGGATTTGGCTTTCCTCCTCTAAAATCCAAGCACATTGTTTAACTAAACTTTAGAGTTAATACATTATCTGGGGTCCATGTGCTCCCCCTTGTTCAGGTCAGCTGTTTCTGTGGGATTCACCAGCCTGGTCCTGACCGCCTGATCTTCATTTCTCCCTCTCTGCAACTGGATTCCAGAGTTCAGGTCAGTGTATAGCTGTGGGTGTCTGCCTCTGCTTCCATCAGCTACTGAACGAAGGCTCTAGGATGGCATATAAGGCAGTCATCAGTCTCATTATAGGGGGAGGGCATTTAGGGTAGACTCTCCACATTGCCTAGATTGTCAGTTGGTGTTCATTCTTGTAGATCTCTGGAAATCTCCTTAGTGCCAGATCTCTCCTGGGACCTCTGTTATGGGTCCCTCTGTTATGATAGCTTTCATCCTGCTCTCTCTCCTCTATTCTTCCCCCAACTCAACCTTTCTGCTCCTCCATTTCCTCCTCTCCCCTCCTCTTCTCCTCCTCACATTCTGCCAGCTCTCTCTCCCCTACCCTCATGCTCCAAAGTAGCTTAGGAGATCCTGGCCCTTCTCATTCTCCGGGGACCATGCATTTTTTAAAACATTTTTTTAAAAGATTTTTTATTTATTGTGTGTACTGTGTTCTGCCTCCATGTAGCCCTGCAGGCCAGAAGAGGGAACCAGATCTCATTACAGATGGTTGTGAGCCCCCTGTGAACTCAGGAAGGACCTCTGGAAGAGCAGCCCATGCTCTTAACCTCTGAGCTATTTCTCCAGCCCCAAAAATAGCAATCTTAAAAATTGGTGTAATTATCTTTTATGTGGCAATCCTCCTTGTAGAAACCCAGCAATCTGGACTGGTGGATACTCTGCCATTACTGTACAATATGCACACTACATTCTTGTTACTGAAAGGGTGGGTTATCAATCACAGGGTTAGCCATGGGGGCTATTGTTAGTGTCTACTGAATTGAAATGTATGCACTCCTCCAGATAACTGTGTGAGCTGACACTGTTGGATGCTGGACTAGGTAGAGATAACATTATGGGATACTGTGCAGATGGGAAAGGGAATAAGGAAGGGCTCTATGTGCCATACTAGAAGGATCTCCAAAACTCACTCTGTCTCTGTCTCTGTCTCTGTCTCTCTCTGTCTCTCTCTGTCTCTCTCTCTCTCTCTGTGTGTGTGTGTGTGTGTGTGTTGCATATGTGTGTGTATGTTTTAAATTCAACTTACAAAACTATTGACAGACAACAAAATGATATTCCTTGGTAGAAAATGTGGAAATTAGAGTTGTATATAGAATTCTAGTATATATACATACAGAGTGTGTTTTCCCAAAGTATATGCTGAAAGAATAAGTCAGAAGCATTGTTAGAGAGGCAAGGATCCAAGAAGCTAATGGGAGTGAGACATTCTGAGCATTCCTTATGCTTCAGTTCTTTAAAAGAAAAAACTCACAGCTAGGCTGGTGGTCTTATTTTCTACTGGCATTTGCTAGGTAGAGGGATTGGCTTTCTGGAAAAAGATCTGGAAAGTTCCTCATCCAAGTGTCTGTCTTTGCAGACTGAGGGTCTCCAAAGAGCATCGGTTTGAGTCTAACTTTTCAGAACCCCGCACACAACTCACACAGACCCAGGCACATTCTAGAAGAGGCTCCAGGAAAGCAGATCCAACATCCTTGGCACTGACTTCAAGGTCTCTCTCTGGCTCCAGTCTTATGAGATCCCAGAGCCTTTCACATGTGTCAGGAGCCTGGGATCTCACCATCAGGGCAGGTGTGTGGGGGGGTCACACATGAATTCCTAAGAGGAAGATTGCCACATCCTATGAGGTCAGGGCAGCCTGCACAACCAAGATCATCATCTCAAATGTCAGTGTGGTCACTGTGAGGAATCCTTCGTTTAGGAGGATGCCAAAAAGGCAGAGTTGACCTGACCCTTAAGCCTGGCTGCCATTCTATCCACCAGGTCACTGCCCCCAACCTCTGTGCAATGGGAAACTGGGTTTTCATATTCATTTGAGTAAAATAAGGAAAATACCAGCTCTTCAGTGTCTTAATTATTTTGGATCAGAAGAGTAAGTAGTGGAGTCGTGGAACACCTGCCTGTGTGTCTTGTCTGTCTATCTATCTATCTATCTATCTATCTATCTATCTATCTATCTATCTATCTATCTATTCAATCTTGATGAAGTGAACAGGCTGGGGAGACCTCATTCTGGTCCTATGTAGGATACCACTCAGAGACTCCAGCCTGGGTTCATTCTCATTCTTGTTTTCCTAGCTCCTTCAGTAAGTAAAGAAAGACATCCAGAAAGATCATTTGCAGAATTGACAGACAGGCATCCAGGAGCTAATGGAAGGTTTGGGTTGTTGGGCTCTGGTCACCTGACCCTAGTCTCTGCTTTTCCTGCCCCCACCCCTATCCCCCGGGCCGTTGCCTCCGGCTCCAGACTCCACCCACCTCTCTATCCGTCAGATATTTGAGGCCCAAGGTAAGACCACTGCCTCCAGATGCCTGCTCTGCTCGCTATCCGCCTATGAACTGGGAGTCCAAGGTAGGCTCTGCTGCGGGCTGCCTTTGGCACGCGGTGCTGGGGACGCGGGCGGGAGGGGGAAGTGTGGCGAGCAGCTAGAACTCTTGGATCCAGGCTAGAGTTTCCCAAAACTGCTTAGTTGCCACAGCGACATGACTCCACTGGGAGTCACGGCCAGTTGTGGTCTCGGCCAGTTGGTGGCACCGCTGCCCTCTGGGATACTAGGTGCGCTGGCTCAGAACCTATTGAGGGGGTGGCTTGTGTTCGACCGACCGACCGGTTCCGTGCGCAGGGACCCGGAGCCGAGCCACCTGTGATCCCACTTGCCCAGATGGTGAGATCCCGGGCTCCTAACACTTGCACAGGCTTTGGAATCACAAAGGGTAGGGGCCAGAGAGAGGCCCGGGAGTCCGTGTCAAGGGTGTTGGACCTTATTTTCTGGAGCCTCTTCTGGAATGTGTCGTAATCTTTGCCAGCCCTGTGTGAGGCTGGAAAGTTAGGCTCAGAGCACAGCTCTTTGAAGACCTCAATCTGTGAAGACAGGTGATGAAATTGTCCTGTGAGTTACCCCTCTCTCTCTCTCTCTCTCTCTCTCTCTCTCTCTCTCTCTCTCTCTCTCTCTCTCTCTCTCTCTCTCTCTCTCTCTCCCCTTGTTTTGTTCATGGACCTAGAGCTTAGTTCTGTGGAGCAAGTGCTCTGCCACCGGCCTGCGACTCCTCCTTTTTCTTTAAAAATTGTTTTGAGAATTGAAAGTACGAAAAATTATCATTCTCCCAGTGTTCCTGGAAGTTTTAGGGAGCCCTACCTGGAGTACCACCTGTTTCTAGGAAAACTGGTGTTCTCTTCGATGAGTTCTTAGATCCCCCAAGAATGGACCGAGAAGGAAGTTCAAAGACAGTTTTATTAGAGTTTAAAAGAAAAGCTCCAGAATGGCTTCTGGGAGTAAGAAGGTGGAGAAGAGTTGAGAAAAGGCTGCACTGGTTGATTTAGGAATGGCGGTCCAGCCAGCAGCCACACGGCAAAAAGGAGGTAGCTTCAGAGACAAAGTGAAAACGTTCACAGAACCAGGGAAGGCATACTTAAGCTGTGTGGCCAGAGCAGAAGAAAGAGCCCCACAGCAGCTTGGGAGTGGCAGTACCAGGCCTAGGCTTTCTGGGGAGGAAAATGCATCAGCTCCTTAAGGGGATATTTATTCCTCCCATATATTTAGTGTGGCATTAGGTGAATTCCCTCCGGGGTGGGGTGGGGTGGGGTGGGGTGGAGGGTTTCTTAGCCAGGTGATTAGCTCTTTTGTTTTAGAGTAGTTTGGAACCTTAATGCACCCAGGCCAGAGGTAAAGTCCAATCTCTTGGTCAGAAAGAAATAGCTTTTCCTTCATGGGCTTTCACTGAGAGCCCTGACCACAGCTACTGTAACATTCCTCCCCCAGAAGAGGTAGCATTAAGTCATTTAGGAGATGGGTTAAAGTTGGAAACAGATGTAACTCATTTTTATTTTTTAACCATAGAAACATAGAGATCCAGTTCCATAGCTGTTCAGTAGGACTTGGTATCTGGCTGGACTGGAGTTTGGTCCCACCCTCATATGTAGCCTCCAGGCAAGGGAGATTAGGAACTTGAGCTCCTTTCTGGCATTTCAGGATAGGGAACCAGGAACATTACTAGAACTAATGATTCTGGTGGCCCTGACCCTCAAGTGCCTAGTCAATTTTTTTTGTCACATCCTTTTCTTATCACCAGGAACACTGGGCTGTGAAAGCATGCTGTGTGAAATTCGTTGGTGTGTTTTTTGTTGTTGGTGGTGGGTTTTTGTTGGGTTTTTGTTTGGGGGGGGGGGGGGGCAGGCAGTTGCTTTGTGATAGGTCTTTTCCCAAGGATGTTTGTACTTTTCAGGTGTGGTTTAGGACTATGTTGTGATATTTGATGTACTGAGTAACTTTGTGTTGAGGTCGTGTGATCAGGGATTTTAGTGCTGGGACATGAGGTGACAGGAATGGCTGATGTTATCAGTTTATGTTGGGAGTGTCCTGTGTTTCAGACCCTCAGCAACTGCATCTACTCTGGCTTGTGTCATCACACAGAGGGAGCATTTGGCTCACTCTTGGCTCCATAGACCAAGTTCATCTGGTTCCCTACACCTGCACGTCTATTTTCAAGGATTACACACATAGAATCAGCAGACAGAAATCAATTGCAAATAGAAAATATGGGGAGAGGAGCCAGGTACGGTGCTGTACACTTGTAATCCCAGTATTCAGGAGGCTGACACAGAGAGATGATAGTATAAGGCCAGCCAGGGCTTGAACTCAGAGATCTGCCTCCCAAGTGCTGGGATTAAAGGTATGTACCACCACCTCAAGGCCCAAAGAATCTTCTTAGAGTTCAGTCTAGCTGTCCATAGCAAAAGTGTAAAGCTTCACTGTGTATTTTGTTCAGATCACTACAAATGGATACCCTTCCATTCCAGGTGGCCTGTTACCTCCCCTTCCCATGCTCTGAGTTCCCAGCCACTGCTCAGGGAGCTGATGGGAAGTCTTAGAACTGTTGTACTGTCTAACTGGGGGAAAGGAATTTGACAACTGTGTGTGGATGATGTCAGAGCTGACAGGCCCTGCTTCCAGCCTGCACTGCTGCAGTTGTGGACTTCCTGACTGCTGGGTCCTTACCTGCCTCTTGTCCTCTGAGCCCATTCCTTCTGGTTCCCCATGTATTGATTTCTGTACAAGAGAAAGACAAGGCACTGGCATGAGTTAGCCCCAGCAGGGCTTCACCACTGTCTGCACGTGACCTTCACTTTCCAGGCTGTGCTTTCCCCTTCGTTCACAGGGTATCACATTGTGAGTGAGAGTGAAGATGCAGCCTACACATCAGCCTGTATTTATGCAATATTGATTTTAATTCCTCTTTCCAGGCTCGCTATCATGGATCATCTTCGGGAAGCAAATGGCACCTTTGCTTTAAACCTTTTGAAAATACTGGGTGAAGACAGCTCAAAAAATGTATTTTTCTCACCCATGAGCATCTCCTCGGCCCTGGCCATGGTCTTCATGGGGGCAAAGGGCAACACTGCAAGCCAGATGATTCAGGTAACCAGCACCATTCCTAACAGATGAATACCACAGATGGTCAGTTGAGCTGATCCTCCACATTCCACATTGCTTGTGCAGATGACATAGGGGTGTAACTGGAGAGCTGATGTGAGAATATTCTACCCCTGCTGGAACCCTGGCTATAGCATCCTGATCCACTGGTGGGGACTATGTATGTGAGGGTTAACTTTGAGCAAAAAATACCAAAGGCATGGCACCAAGGCTCCCATGACCTCTACTGTCTACTGTCTGGCCCCAAAGGATCTCATCTCTCCTCCAGATAAGGTCTCCTCTTAGGATCTTTAAGTTATTCCCAAATGGGGTCAGCCTTGGCTGGCAGAGCAGGGATAGAATGACTGGGGCTCTTGTTGGTTCAGTGCTTTCTCTCTGCAGAAGTGTATGAACTTCAGAGACAGGCTACCCTAGAATAAGGTAGGGAGACAGTGAGGGTTAAATACAGTGCATACTCCCTGATGTATTAGTCAGCTAGAGCTGTGTAACAAATACTACAGATTGGATGGTCTAAGTAACAGAGATTTTCTTGTAGTTCTAGAAGCTGAATTCTAAAAATCAAGGAGTAGGAAATCTGGTTTCCTATGGATTGTAAATGGCATCCTTGTCTTCGCTGGATGTCTAGGTCTCTTTTTCTTATAGGAACACAGGTTGGATTGGATTTAGCTCACTCTAATGACTTCCTTTTAACTTCATTATCCCTATAAAGGCTTAGCTCCAAATAAGGCCATATTCTGAGGAACTGGTTGTCAGATGACAATATGTTAATTTGGGGGCACATTCAGCACATGGGAAAGGACACATTACAGTCATTGAACTGTAGCAATTCTTACACAGCAAAGTGTGTAAGTCTAGTCTCCCGTATGCCAAGGTTGGGGATATCGTGATTCTCCTCCACTTGTGTTTGAAAGGAGTCTTTCCTTGGGCCATAACTTTGCATTCTGAGTTAGTTCTTTTTTGCAGCATACTTTTGTTTTTACAAGAGAAATGTGTTCATTGCTTTCTCAGCCTGCCTCCTTTTTGGAGAGAGTTAGGGCCTAAAGTTTAACTTCAGTTTAAATTGACTCTTTCTTTTTTAGTTCCAAGCTATTACAACTACTGTAGACAGTTTACCTGTTTTCTTTGGGAGCCCCTGATTGTTAGCTTGAGTAAAAACCCCACAGATTGTCAGTTGAGCTGATTCTCCACATTCGAATCCTCAAAAAAAAAAAAAAAAATCAATCTTGAGGAACAATTGGGAATGAAATGACAAAGGGTATGGTTGTAGAGTTGAGAGGAAGAATGCACTATACCTGTTAGGACCCTATCACTGACTCACTGGAGCTCACTGTGTGTGTGTGAAGGTTAGCTTGAGTAAAAACCCCAAAGGGTGGTACCAGGGTCCCCTCTGGCGCCCACTGTCTTCTCTCTGGCCTTAATGAATCTAGCTTTTCCACAGATAAGGAAGACTAGAATAGGGTCAGCCTAGGCTGGAAGACCAGGCACATATCCATTAGGGCTCTTCTTGGACATAGTGCTTTAGCCGCAGAGGTATATGGACTGCAGAGACAGCTGTCCCAGCATAAGAGGGGGAGACTACCTTGGGCTATGACTTTGCATTCCATGTTAACTCTTGGCGGCAGCTTTCCATTTTTCTAAAATGTACTGTGTTTGTTGCTTTCTCAGCCTGCCTCCTTATTGGAGAGAGTTAGGGCCTGAAGTTTAACTTCAGTTTAAAGGGACTCTTTCTCTTTTAGTTCCAAGCTATTACAACTACTGATAGGCAGTTTACCTGTTTTCTGTGAGAGTCCCCGATGTCATTTGTGTAGCCTTTTCAGAGACTTAGGAGGTCTATAGAATTGTATCTAAGGTGTTTACTGTACCTAGGTTTTCACTGTTGGGTGGGGTCTTGCTTCTCTTTCAAGCGACTTTATGTGGTGACGGTTACTGCGGGATTTCCATGTGGTCTCCTGCAGGATGGCTTGGATTTCCTTCCACTATGGTGGCTGGGGACAAGAGCACAAATGTGGCATCTGCCAGGCCTTTTAAAGCCTAGGCCTAGAACAGGGTCACTCTCCTCCATTCTGTTTGGCAGACAGTGCTGGAGCCAGTGCAGACCCCAGAGCAGGGGAGAGACAGCATGAACTGAGGTCAGAAACTGGCTGCACTTGAGTCATAGCAGATCTGATTGGTAGCCATGCTTGAAGCCAGAACATAGTGACTATGAAAAACTTGGTTTGTGAAGGGCCATTTCTGCTCAGACCGGGGCTGACAGGGTGCAGGGGAGGACCCTAGAGAGAGAATGGTCTGTACTTTCCCCTTTAATTAGGTGACTCTTTGAGTGGCAAGGATCTATAAAATCTGGAGGATGGGTTTAGTGTTGACTCGTTTCCTCTAGCTGGGCCTGCTGAAATTATGTTGTAATCTGTTTTGATTTCAGGCACTCTCTTTGGATAAATGCAGCGGCAATGGAGGTGGAGATGTCCACCTGGGCTTCCAGTCACTTCTCTGTGAAGTGAACAAGACTGGCACACAGTACTTGCTCAGAACAGCTAATAAGCTCTTCGGGGAAAAAACTCTTCATATCCTAGCAGTAAGTATCATGTGGTATTCAGAGATGTTAGGCTGAAGTTATTGTCTACACACCACACAAATGTATACACACTTACAGGCACACCTGCAATGCATGTACACATTTCCACACTTATTTGCTACACACATAAATACACAAATTAAGAATAAAAGCAGTTTGCCTTTAATCCCAGCACTTGGGAGGCAGAGGCAGGCAGATCTCTGTGAGTTTGAGACCAGCCTGGTCTACAAGAGCTAGTTCCAGGACAGCCTCCAAAGTCACAGAGAAACCCTGTCTCGAAAAACCAAAAAAAAAAAAAAAAAAGAATAAAAGCAGTTCTGTACAAAAGGAATTAAATATGCAGCCATGAGGTGTTTGGTAGAAATATTAAGACAAATATATAAGTATTTTATAACATATAGATATAATACATATAACATATACAGCATGTAATATATGTAATTCCATTGTCATATAATTGTATTATATATTTAGACAGTATGTAATAAATACAATACATAAGTATATAAATATATTCCATCTATACTGTCAGCATAGTGGGAGTTTCAGCCCATTTACACTGCATTGAGTTTTCTGTTGTAACATGGCAGAATGTGGGTGGTCATCAATGTCATTTTGCAGAATATATCAACAAATGGCTTGAACTTCTGTTTGTCTTGTGGTGCTGGTGACCAGTTCCTTTTAAGGTCTTACACATGCCAGGCTGGTCTTCCACCACTGTGCTGCATCACTGAACCCCAACTGCTCACCCCCTGAGCCTGAGCTGCCTGAGATGGTGGACACATAGCTATTCATATTCCATACCATGAAATAAAATAAATTAAAATGAATACTCAGTTTCGGAGCTTCCATGGCCTCTCCCCTGGTGTTCTGTGGATATAGGTGATGCTATTTTGAAAGATGCAAATTCGTATTTCTGTTGGTAGGGAAAACTGTTGGTGCAGCCTGTGAAGGGCAGAGGTGTCATAGCTCTTGTGGGGTCAACCCCCCACTCCAGCAGTGTAGTGGACTATCAGAGTGACAGTTGTGTAATACTGCCCCTGGGGGTGTCCCCAATGACCTCCTTGAGCCCTAGTGACTGCCTCAGGGTTCCAGCTCTTCATGACATTTTTATGGTACTTAGTTTACCATCTAACTTTGTTCATAAACTAAGATTAAACTAAGTGTATTGGTTACTTTTATATTGATGTGATAAAATACCGTGACCAAGGCAATTTATAAGATAAATTTGCCTTTGGTTTTAGGTTAGAGTCCATCACGATAATGGCAGGGAGCATGGAAGCAGTCAGGCAGGCATGATGCTGGAGCGGCTGAGAGCGCATCTCTCAAAATCACAAGTAGGAGACCGAAAGAGCACACTGGGAATGGAGCGAGTCTTGTTTGTTTCTTTTTTTTGAGACAGGGTTTCTCTGTGTAACCCTGGCTGTGCTGGAACTGGAGCTAGTCTTTTAAACCTCAAAGCCTGCTCCCAGTGACACGCCTCCTCCAACAAGGCCACACCTCCTGATTTTTCCCTGAAAATTTTCACCATCTGAGGAATTATATTCAAATATATGAGGGGCTATTCTCATTTTAACCACCACAGTTGGGTTTTAAGTTCTTTCCTCATATTTATTTGTAAATCGCCCTTCATTTTGTTCCTGTGTTTTTGTGCATCAAGGAAGGAGGCTGTTGGTGTTAATCACATTCGAGGCTGCATAATCACGTTGCTCTGTCTCAGTCTTTTAAAGATTCCTGCCGCAAGTTCTACGAAGCAGAGTTGGAGCAGCTGGACTTCCAGGGTGATACAGAGCAGTCCCGACAGCACATCAACACCTGGGTCTCCAGGAAGACAGAAGGTGAAGGCGGCATCCTTCTGTTCTGTTTGTTTACAGAGCTGGGATTTGAACCCAGTGCCCTGATCATGCTAAGCAGGACCTCTGCCCTCCGAGACCTTACTAAAGTTTAGTGTATTATAAGAATTACATTTATTTATCTATTTGTGTGTGTGTGTGTGTGTGTGTGTGTGTGTGTGTGTGTGTGTGTGCGCGCGCGCGTGCATATCTGTGGAGGTTAGAGGACGACCTGAAGGAGTGCTTCTTCTCTCCTTCTACCATGTGGGTTTAGTGGGAATCTACTTGGGGGTGTCTTCAGACTTGACAGAAAGCATCTTCACCTGCGGAGCCATCTCTCTTGCCCTAATGTGCTTTTTTTTTAGCTTGTCTTGTTAGTCCCTTCACAAACGCATGAGGTATAAACAGGAATGATTTTTTTGTTCTTTAAATCAGGCTCCTGTATTTCTGCTTCTTCTTGCCATGGTAGAGATTGTACCCAGAGCCTGGCACAAGCTAGGCAATTATTCTACAATTGGTCCACTTCGTCAGCCCTAAATCACAGCTTCTTAAAGTTTTCAACTACAGCCCCTTTTGGCTTGAGAAATTTTTATAATACCTGGAGGTTATATGTATATGCACAGGTGATCATTTACTGGTAATAAATCTATAGAAATTTATTTTAAAACAATTCATCTGTATACATATACTTTTATTATGTATTAAAGATGAAATCAAACTTGTGTACTAATGAGGTGGATATGTTTATCTGATACAATCCAATGCAAAGATATATTAATTTGATACTTACATGCTGATGATGAAAGTAGGAAAATGGTGAGTCTGTGTTTCACGATGAAGCCATTCTGTCTCTAGAAGAACAGGAAACTTTGTATGTAGACCACAAATGCTGCATTCCCAACATGATGGTTTCCAATATGGTGTTTTACCCAGTGTTTGTTGATATTGCATTTTGTAGTGTGACATAATGGCAAGCACGGTGCAAAGTGCTCATGTGTGTTAGGGAAGTGTGTGAAGCAAGGTGTGAGCCACTGCCCCCAGCACTGTGAGCTCATCATGCATTGGGGCTTGGATGAAGTTTTGGCTGTTACATGTTAAGAAAGCTGTAACTGTTCAAGTTTTGCCACTGATACCACATTCAGTCTCCATCAGGTCACAACCCAGAGTTTAAGAAGCTTTCCTCTAAGTATTTGCAAACCTGCTTCTTAAATATTATTGTCAGGGTCTAACCCTTGCCTAGCAATGGATCTGTGATCTCTCCCAATATTTAATACATGTCTTCCAGAGCCACCAGCCTCCTGTCCTTCCTTCTCTGCAAAGTGTAGAAGGCTTGTGCTGCAGCTCCTCCCTGTCTGGGGCTGTCTAGTGTTCTACAGTTTTCTTGCATCATTCCAGGTGCTTGGCCCCACCCCCCATTTGAACCTGTGGTTGGAGCCTGTGCTTTATATTTGTAGGGCACATTTTATAACTGCTCTTCTACTTTAAATTTAATTTTTAAATGGAAACATAAGGTTGTGTGTGATTTTTTAATACACATGTACTCTGTAATGTTATAACCAGGATAAATACATCTCTTGTTTCATATATATATTCATATAGATATTATTTATTTATTTATTTATTTATTTATTTTGAGATAGGGTTTATCTGTGAAACAGTCCTGGCTGTTTTGGAACTCTCTTTGTAGACCGGGCTGGTCTCCAGCTCACTGAGATCTGCTTGTCTCTGCCTCCCGAGTGCTACGTGTGCCACCAATACCTGACTATATATATATAATTTTTATTTATCTAAGTGATGTGTGCCTCTGTGAATGTATGCCACATGCATGTAGGTGCCTGCTGAGGCCAGAGAGGGTGTTGGGTTACCTGGAGCTGGAGTTACAGGTGTTTGTGAGCTATCCAGTGTAGATGCTGAGAATCAAACTCATAACTACTGAGCCGTCTCCCCAACCCCTGCCAAATGTTTTTAAAATATGAACTTATAACTATCCTATCTTAGAACAGCCCTTGAACTCCTTTAAGCTGTAGGCACTAATCAACACCTTTGCTGCACCTGTTGGCATTTACTATGCTCATTCAAAGAGTGAAGTTTTTCTTCCCAGATTATTTTGCTGTTTTTTACTTCAGCCAATTCTTTCAGTTAACTGGCTTGTTAATTCTTCCATTCAGATAAAATTAAAGAGATTCTGGATCATGACATGGTGAAACCAAACACCATGCTGGTCCTTGTGAATGCTGTCTACTTCAAAGGAAACTGGGAGAAGCAGTTTAACAAAGAGGACACCCGGGAGATGTATTTCAAAGTCAACAAGGTAAACACAGTGCAGTAACAGAGGAGACTCCTGGGCAAGGTCCCCCGTTCACATTGGCTTCAGAAACACAAGGAGGCTGCTTCATGTAGCCCATGACTCTCATGTCTCTGGTCGGCTCATCAGCCAGGACTCCCTCTCTCAGCTTTGAGGCCTTTCTCTTCCCCTTTGCTTTTGAATGTTGCCAATGGTGGTTACAGTCTATGTGGTTTCAGGCCTGGCCCTGCTTCTGTCACTGGTCATGGTGTCACTGGCAGCTGTTGAGGCCAAACCTGAAGGCAGAGCTCTGCAGTGTACTTTGAACAGTCTGTCATGTAACTTTGGAGATAAGGAAGTCTAAACTCCAGATGTGGTGTGTGAGGCTCTTGTGGCCCTGGAGGCAGCCATTCTTCGTGATTCCCTTCAGTGGTGCACATTCCTTTCTTCTCAATGTGTCTTCCTAGAAGTCTGTGTCTTTCCCCTCCTTCAGGAGGACCGCAGTTCCAGCTGGTAGCCACAAAAGAATACAATGGGAAAATGACCAATCTCACCCTGCTGGAAAAGCAGCAGAGGGCACACAGCTGTCTAATGAGTGCTGGCTTATGGTTGATGCTCTGTAAACACTGAAGCAGCGTGTGAAATTCAGTCTTGGTTTGATGGGAGAAGCTCAGATTTTTGCTTATAGACAAGCACGCAAAGGGTGTGTGTGCAGGGTACTATTTATTGATGGCTTAGCATCTTTCTATCACCAATTTACTTTATTCATATGTAGTCTTTTTAGTTTAGTTTGATTTTGGTTTTTCTTCACACATACTCCTAGGCCAAAATACCAGATCAACTGAATGATATCATGGATGATTAACCAACTCTTAGATTTCCCCTGCAAATTAGATTTGAATCTTCAGTTTCTTCAGAAATGCATTTTATTTAAAGCTTTATTCTTGCATGACATTTTTGCCCCTCACAAAACTATTTTATCTTTTTGATACTAACCATTGACAAGATGTACGTTAGAATTTCCTTCAACTGTGAGCAACAGAAACCCCAGATTACTGAATTGAACTCATACAAGTTCATCACCTATTAGGAGGTCAGGAGATGATGGGTGGAGCCTTCAGCTTCCTTGCACCGGGGTGATGCTCTTGGGAACTGGCTTTGCTTTCCTGCTCTGCCATCTTGACATGGACTTATTCCCTCATGGTTACATGATGGCTTAGACTCTAGTCCAGGGAAAGGATAGAGCTAATAGTCTCTCCCTCTGATTCCTCTCCTGGATATTGTTTAAATGCAACTGTTTGATGTTGCTGCTGCTAAGTGCCGGGCTGTGAAGTCATTGTCTTGCTTTCTTGTCTCATCAGTAGAGAAAGACTGGGCTCTGCCTGCCATGAGTGTGGAATCTGTGGTGTGCTGTGGCAGGGCCCGAGTATGAGGTGATCCTGGTTTTCATTTGAATTCCATATTTCTGAATGGAACGCAACTTATAGACATAAAGGGTGAATCATTAACTTGCTAAGATTGGGTCTTTTCATGTTGCATGATTAGAGGCTTTGGAACCTGGAGTTAGGTGGGAATAAACTGTCCAAAGAAGAGGTTAGCACCCTGAATATTCCAAAATTCCTAGACAGAGTTTTATGTTACACATTTACCCTTATTCATTTACAAGTGAGTGTTGTGAGAGTAAGTGTGTGAGCCACAGAACCAAGCAAGAGTGCATGAATTGTGGTCAATTGTGGATAAAGTATGCTGGTTTGGGGTCAAGGACAAGAATGAGGAGAAGGATGGCAAACTTCATGGCTCAGGGCTGGTTCACAGAGATGCGATACATTATTGTAGAACAGGACTGCAGAAATAAGTTTTATTTGCTCAGAATGGTGTACTGTACCAGAGAGTGGGACTGTAAAGGGTCTTCAGTTGTGCCTGTCACAAGGCAGTCCATAGAATTTACTGTAGCTTCTAGACTTAGACCATAGAGGGTTGGAAACTGAGAAGGATTACTGACTATGATGTGTTTCCCAGCTGACACTATATTGGCAACAACTACAATTTCTTTCTGGTAAGATGTTCATCTTGCCTGGCACTCAGTGGGTGCTTGAGAGTCTACTGTGCCCCAGGAATTAACTGGCTGTGTGTGCCTGCCCCTGCGAGGCTAAGTTTTTCTGGAGAGAAAACTGATACAGGCATAGGTAACAACACAGAAGTTGGCGTAAAGGCTTTAAAGACATACAAATGATGTGGCAGGATGCTGTATTTGTGGTATGGTTGAAGAAGAGCACTACAGAGGAGACCCTCACTGGGAAGATGCTGTGCAAGCAGATACCAGGACATAACATGGTCCAGGTTCTCAGGAGGAGTTCATGGATTAGACGAGACATCAAGGTAGTTAACCACGAATCCAGAAGTAACTCCCTCACTAAAGTGGAGCAGGGAAGAGAGAGCATGGCAAGAAGTGAATAGAAGAGAAAGCAGGATGTGCTCTTAATGTGATTCCAGATAGGTTAGGGTTTTGCTCCTGCTAGACTCACACCACACAAGAGTGTTCACCTAGAATGATGTGATCTGACTTGCATTGTGCTGGGAATTATGGCTGCTGTGCTGAGGTCTGGGACACGGTGGTCATCACAGGATCCTAGGGGCATCCTGATGGCAGTGGAGGTTAAAAAAAAGTCAGATTATGGTTGTATTTCAAAGAAGGAGCCAGTGATACTATTGAGTTACTGTAGGGTGTGAGTCAGAGACACACAATGATTCTAGTAAGAGAAAGGATGCAGGATGGATTTGACAATGAGAAAGAGAGCATCACTGTTAACTAGGACAAACAAAATTGTATGTAGAGCAAATTTGCAAAGGAATGTAAATTCAGACATATGTTTGTGGTTGGAGCTTTGTTTGTATCAAACTGCAGGAGTCAAACTGACTGTAAAATGCACTATTCCAGAGTTCAGAGAAACCCCGGGATAGCACAGTAATTTGGCAATTATGTCCAAAGTCAAAAGACTGAATTAATTCCCTCAAGAGAAAAAAAATTGATTCAGGAAATCCTAAGTGTTTGGAAATTGGGTCAGTCAGCTTTCTGACACCACAACTGATAAGGAGATAATCAATTTAGTGCAGTTGATAACCAGTTTCTAGGGTATATCGTAATGATCTGAACACCTTCCTCTAGGTTCCACCTCTTAAAGACTTCTTCTTCCAAAGCTCCACTCTGAGGACCAAATCTTGAAAAATGGGCTTTTAGGGGCATGCAAAGTCTGAATTGTTCCAGAAGTTGAGGGGCTGATTGAATGTTCTAAAAGTCTAACCAAGAAAATACTCCCAGGCCCAGTAGCTATCTTCCCCTGTTGAATTTGCCCAATTTGACTTGTTTCAACCTAATATTTATCCATCCTTCACAGAATGAAGAAAAACCTGTGCAAATGATGTTTAAGAAGTCTACGTTTAAAATGACCTATGTGGAAGAGATATCCACCAAGATTCTGTTGCTTCCCTATGTCGGCAATGAGCTGAACATGGTCATCATGCTTCCAGATGAGCACATTGACT